TGCCTGAGAAGTGAGAAACACCCCATAGCCCAGCTTTGCCACTAGGGAAGTCTGCTCCCTCTGGAAGAGAGTTTGATGCTTTATTGGTGTTAATTGTGGCAGTGAATGGGCACCATGTACCCATGGTGCAGTACTCAGCCTCTCTGAGGGGCACATCTGTTGTTGTTGTTAGTGTTTTGTGTGCCTCTGCATTAAAATGGGATTAATAAAATCTATTAGCCCTGAAATGGCACCTTCCACACAGAAGGTTGGAACTTCACAACCTGTAAGTGGCATTTTACTCAGAGAGATTTTACTCAAGTATCAAACACATACAGAGACACAACCTTCAAAACAGAAAGGACAAAAAAGATGAGACCCATAGTGTACTATTGTTCTCTACTTTCATAGATGGGTAAAAGTGCAAAAAGAAGAACCAAAAACCTCTTTCTCAGTCATTCCCCTCAATTTTTTTGATGGAAGAAGTCTGTTTGGATATCCAAGCCTCATATTACCACAATAAGATCAAAACTTCATATGATTTTAGTGCAAAATTGATACCCCTCATTTGTTTTACAGAAGCAGGCAGCAGGCCTTGTTTCAGGTAAGCAATTAAGCCAAGCAAGTAGAGATGTGGTTTGTGACTGCAGTGACCAGCAGGTCACTTTGCTGCCCTCTCACAGGCTGTGGGGCTGCTTCAATTCCTTCTCCTCCCTCTGCTTTGGTCTCCCTGTTTGCAGTCAGGAGCAGAGCCAGCACTAAGCCCGGGCTGCCCATGCCAACTCATGAGGGCCCCTTGCTTGAACAACCCCTTAACAGGATGCATTTCTTTTTTGAGGTTTGAAAATGGTACTAAAAAGAATCATTTCAGTGCCTGCACATAAGTAGTATTTTAAAATGAGGTACATGATTTGATAATTTTAAGGAAGATAAAAATTTTCTTTCATTTTCACAACTTCCTACAAATGCTTTTTTTCCGATGTAGGCTCTGCATTGATTTTGCAGAGCATGTGTAATTGCAAGACTTGTTTCTGAAGGAGGCAAATGAAACTTTTTATAGCATTTTCAGGCTACTCATAAAAGTGCTGTATTTAAGCTAGGCCTAATTTATCAGGTTTATTGGTAGTATTACTATTATCATCAGGTTCTAAAATTAAATGTAGCCCACCCACCTCAGGCTGAAAAACCTGTGGAGATCCTCAGCATTAACAGTAATTTTCTTCTTCATTTTCTTTGACTACAGAAGTCAGAATGTCTGCTCTCAGTCCTCCAACATAAGGTAGGAGTATCTCCTAAATGCAAAGCAGCAGAAACAGAGAATAAAAAAAAAAATTTTATTCCCATTTTGTCCAAAATACCTTTCTCCTCTCCCTTTAACATTTTCCTTTGACCCTGAACTTCTTTTTCTTAAAAAAACTCCCATCTTTCTGTGTACTTCTTGTTAGCTCGTGATTGTACAGCCTGGCTGTAGGGCACGACCGGTGAATCATAACAGCAAATGTCAGCAGGAAAAGATCTCCAGTAGCCCATTAGCTGTTTGAGTTCATATTTATTATTTACTGAATGACCGTGAATAATGAACAAGTTGCTCTAAATGATTACAGATTTGCGGCTAAATCTCTATTAAAAAGGGAAAATCAGTTGAAGCAATTACAGAATTTATTTACAAGGAAAAAAATCCCTTCGTCTCATTAATATTACATGGAGGAGATGTAGCAACAGCAAGAGAAATAGAGGTAATTGGTGCAAATTGATTAGGGATGCAAAAAATGAAAACTCTGAAATGACAGAGAAGTGAAAGAAATTCTCTCAAAATGCCAAAATGCTTCCATGGAGATATCTGCCCTAGTCTCAGTGGGCTGGACTCATATGAACATCAGCGAGTTACATTGTTGGACATTGTTACCCAAGTTGTGTTTACAGTCAGTATTTAGAGGTAAATTAGGTTAGGTAAATCCCATCCTAGCTAAATACAGCTAATCTTTTGACTGCCTAATTTGTGCTTGAGTTTGGGCCTAATTTTTTTCTGAGGAAACTGGATAAGGTCAGGAATGGCACTGGTGCAAAAGTCTGCAACTTTAGGCATGTCCTCCTCAATGTAAATGATAATTCTGTAGCTATCTTATAAATGGACAGAGAAATCACAAACTGTACAATTGAAGGAAAATACCAGCTCCTAGTACACAGATTGTGTAGCAAACAACAAAAGGAACCTATCCTAAAATAGGAAAGTATCCAAATATTTTTCTCTTGACTTTGTGGAGCACATGTGGTGACGCCTCTTCATGCATTTACTTGAGCAGTTCTCTTAATCAGATTCCATTTTAGGGTAGTCTTAGAGATTATGTAAGAGCAAATTGTGGTTTTATCTTTCCTGCTTAAAGAAGGAATGTGGTATCAGAAGTCATGTTATCAGGCATTATCCAAAGCCTTATACCTGTTCAAATGTCATGTTCAGCAACATATTTAACTAGCTCTAATTTCCTTCTCTCATTGCACAGTCAAAGGTTCCCCAAATTAATATGGCTATTTGAGTATTTTTAGGCAAGAGCCTATTAATGCTGGGTTTGTTTTTTTTTACAAAAACATGCTATAGCTAAAGCTCATGATGGAAGTAATTTGTAATATCCAATGATCTCATTTTATTCTGTTTTGCTCACTCAACGCTAATGCGTATGATGCCATGTGAAATTCGCAGACGAGCCTGTCTGCGGGACTCATGGGAGCCATAAATGGATTAAACCTCTCACTCCCTACTTTGGCAAGTGATCAGTTACATTTAAATAAAGGTCAGTCTGTCTTTACAAAGAACACACTGAAAGCAAGCTTAATAGCTTTCCCTACTGAGCCTAGAACATAACTATTTGAAGCATAATTAGCAACGGGGTGCCAGTCACTGATTGTGCTTTTTGCTTGATTTTATGTCTGGGGAGTTCCAGTATTCCCTATTAGCTTTAAGAGGGGACACAGTGCTAGTTATCAAATTGACAGTCTTGACCTGGCCTCTGAAAGCAGCTGTAAAACACTGTTGGGGAAAATTAAGATGAATGCCAAAGCCAGGTCTGTAATACTGCTACAAATTGGACATTTGAGGTCCATGCCATGACTCTAAATAACAAAATAGGTAAAATATCTGATATACATGAGAGTGTGGACTTCATTACACTAAACATCAGGTGATTAGATACACCAGTTGTCCTTTTGTCTCATCTTATGAGCTCTGTATTGTGGCTTCTTTATAAAATACTCCATACCTATTCTTTTCAGCATAACAGAGTGACCAGCTCTGCCATCTGTCAAAATACAGATTTCAAGAAGGGTGGAGTGAATCAGCAACAACTGCCCCTCCAGTAAAAGGTGATGACCACAAAAGGGTTGTTTTGTGAAGTTAATTAAATATTTAGCCTGTATGAGACATTTAAGAATTAACATGGTTAAAGACTCACAGCATCCAGGTTTGGGCTGGAAGGGACCTTCAAGATCATCTAGTTCAAACATCCCTAACATATCTTGTGGTGTTCCAGTTCTTCAAAATACCTCATTTGCTTGGGGGTTATGGGCTGGTATTTATATCCCTGGTAGGAAAAGTGATAATTGTCTACAGGGGGAGAGAACAGAGCTGATACAGCAATCTTGGTACTCTGCAGACAGCCTGAAATTCTAAGAGAGATCTGTGAATTACCTTGACCTTCCTGACTGGAGCATCAGCTTCAAAAGTTCAGTGATTGCACTTCAGTGTTATCAGCAACTAATTTAGCACTGATCATTTTATCTACTACTATCAGAGAAGATGGGTAAGAGCAAACACAGTGGACTGACTTTTGGGAATTTCTGGAGATAATCCAAGAGCAGACCAGAGAAGCAGACAAGTGACAGCAAAATCAGCAAAAGAATAAGGAGGAGGAGGAGGAGGAATTAAAAGGCAGCAAAGAGGCTGGGATTATATGGAAAAGATCTCTTAAGTAAAGATGAACGTTATAATAAATTATTATGAGAAAATATTACCATCTCACATTTTAGGTGTGATACAAAGACTATATTCTGTTTATCTCTGTGTAAATCATCAAACTACATTTACTTCAGCTCCTCTCACCTGATAGATGGTCAGTGGCTGCATTCCCAGCTCGGGATCACTACCAGAGAGGAGAGGTCTGTGTCCTCCAAATGCACCTTCACAACATAGAACCTGTAAGAGGAAGATGACCAACCAGGGATTAAAATAAAAGCATGTACTTTTCCTGATTTACCTGCACTTGGGGGTTAAACACAGGATTTTAGGTCATTCCTTTTGTGAATGGTATATCCATTTTAAGAGTCAATTAAATACATTACAAAATGTAGGCATTGCCAAGAAATATGGGGCTGTATTTGTTTTATAAGCTCTCAGATGCATAAAGACCAATCCCTTAAGCAGCTCCATATCAGTTTTACCACTCTCCTTCTCTAAAATTTATTTGTTCTTCTGTTTGTTTCACTTCTAGGATTTCTTTTTCCTGATGGAAAATTTGTACGGGAAGTGGAGAAATCAGTAACTGATTTAATTGATCATTTTCGGATTATGTGGAATTTTCATTTTTTACAGATTTTCTACAATGCAGCCAACTAATGCTCTGCCTCCAGCACAGGCACTTCAAGGTCGTATTTCTTTGTTTTCACCACAGGTCAGATACCATCACCAGGAAAAACTAATTTGAAAGCATCTTCCATCACAGGCACTTCGAAATAATGAAACAAAACAGCCAAGCAGAGTAAAAAAGTCCTGTTTCTTTAACCCATGGATCCTGTGCCAGCAGTGAAGAACTCTCCTCAAGCTCTCACAGTAAGGTTTGCTAGGCAGGCAGCAAATGTGCTCCTGTGGTTTACACCTCCATAATCATTTCTCTCTTCTGCAGGATGTTTCCTTCAAGCACTGGTAGCATCCAGCTGTGTCTCCTTTGAGCCTTTTAGCATGTCAACGTTACTTTCTTCTGTGTAATTTGGTATTTGAATACATTGAACACTACCTTTGTTCTCTGTTGTAGGTCATGGGTTGTATGGGACTTTTGAAATGTTGTCCTCCTGGAGAAAAACTAGAGAAGACCAACACGTTAAAGAGAGGACTGCAGCTGTATTTGCAGACTCCATGCTCTCGTTTTCTCTCACCACTGCCATGTACCTGGTCACTTTTGGAATAGGTGCCAGTCCCTTCACTAACATTGAAGCAGCCAGGATTTTCTGCTGCAATTCCTGTATTGCAATTTTCTTCAACTACCTCTATGTACTCTCCTTTTATGGTTCCAGCCTGGTGTTTACTGGCTACATAGAAAACAACTACCAGCATAGTATCTTCTGCAGAAAGGTACCAAAGCCAGAGGTATTGCAAGAGAAGCCTGCATGGTATAGGTTTCTTCTGACAGCCAGATTCAGTGAGGACACAGATGATTCAGAGGAAACGAACACTTACGAGAGTCATCTTTTGGTGTGGTTCCTGAAACGCTATTATTGTGACTGGATAACAAACACTTACGTCAAGCCTTTTGTAGTTCTCTTTTACCTTGTTTATATTTCCTTTGCCTTAATGGGCTACCTGCAGGTCAGTGAGGGGTCAGACCTGAGCAACATCGTAGCGACCGCGACTCGGACCATCGAGTACACGACTGCCCAGCAGAAGTATTTCAGTAACTACAGCCCGGTCATTGGGTTCTACATCTACGAGTCCATCGAGTACTGGAACACCAGTGTCCAGGAGGACGTGCTGGAGTACACCAAGGGCTTCGTGAGGATATCTTGGTTCGAAAGCTACTTAAATTATCTTAGGAAACTCAACATATCTACTGGATTGCCGAAGAAGAATTTCACCGATATGTTGAGGAACTCCTTCCTGAAGACCCCTCAGTTTGCCCATTTTTCAGAGGATATCATCTTTTCCAAGAAATACAACAATGAAGTTGATGTTGTGGCCTCCAGGATGTTCTTGGTGGCCAAGACAATGGAAACCAAGAGGGAAGAACTTTATGACCTCCTGGAGACCCTGAGGAAGCTCTCTCTCACCTCCAAGGTGAAATTCATCGTTTTCAATCCATCATTTGTGTACATGGATCGTTATGCCTCTTCAGTGGGAGCCCCCTTACAAAACTCCTGCATTAGTGCTTTATTTCTGCTCTTCTTCTCTGCATTCCTGGTGGCAGACTCTCTGATCAATGTCTGGCTCACTCTAACTGTTGCCTCGGTTGAATTCGGAGTTATAGGTTTTATGACCTTGTGGAAAGTGGAACTAGATTGTATTTCTGTGTTGTGCTTGATTTACGGAATTAATTATACAATTGACAACTGTGCTCCACTGTTATCAACCTTTGTCCTGGGCAAAGAGTTCACAAGAACTAAATGGGTGAAAAATGCCCTGGAAGTGCATGGGGTAGCTATTTTGCAGAGCTACCTCTGCTATATTGTTGGTCTGATTCCTCTTGCAGCTGTGCCTTCAAATCTGACCCGTACACTGTTCAGGTGCTTGTTTTTAATAGCATTAGTCACCTTCTTTCACTGCTTTGCCATTTTACCTGTGATACTGACTTTCCTGCCACCCTCCAAGAAGAAGAGGAAAGAGAAGAAGAATCCTGAAAACCGTGAGGAAATAGAGTGTGTTGAAATGGTGGATATGGATAGCACCAGAGTGGTTGACCAAATTACAACAGTCTAACTTGATTTGTTGGTTGCTTTTTTACACTAGGTCTTACTGAGAAAAAAAAAAGAAACCAGTACTGACTAAATGTGTGGGGACAGGAAGATTGGAGGTTTTCCCCTCCCTCCTCTAAGCTAAATCCAGGAATATTCAAAATGATGGGAGAAATTAAAAATAAATTTAAAAAAAAAAGCAAGAGCTGGGGTATTGTACCTTGCTCAGTTCCTATAACAGGTAATAGGGGAGAATTTGCACACCCATGCAAAGAGAGGTTAAATTTTAGATGCATGAAGTAAGATCTAATGGAAGAAGTTGGGTTCTTAAGCAGTCGTCTGCATCGCCTGTACTGCAGATGCTGCAATTATTGTGGCTAAACCAAATCATGTTGAAAGGTCAACTGTCAAGGCTGAAGTAGCACTAAATGTTCGCTGGATGTAAAGGCTTTACAAACTTTCTGCACAGCAATAACTCAAGTCAGTGAGTCAGCTCTTGTAAGTCTTTGCCATCACATTTAATATTTCTTTTCTCCCCTAATCTAAACATTTATGCAAGACTATATAAAAAATAGCAAACTGTACTGGGAAAGAAGGCAGTACACAGCAACCAAGTGCTTTCCAAACACCTTTATGTTATGAATCACTTTTTTTTTTTTTTTAAAGTATCATTATTTTAAAATTGAAATCATCCCTTTTAACATTTTTAATCATGGTTTTATAGCTGTTTCTTTTTCTTATAAAAACAAAAAAGAACAAAAAAAAGGAACAAAAAATCCATGTGACTCTGTCACTCTAGAAAATATATAATTCTATTTTATACATGTCTCGCTACTAGTTAAACATGTAATCTGCTTTACCAACTGTAATTTTGTTAGCACTCTACTAAGACATGTGAGTGGATCTAGCAGCAGACAGAAGATGGTGTACTGAATATTTCAGCACCAAAATCCATGATACAAACCTCAAATACTAAAATGTCATCAAGAAAGTGAATGTTAGGGCTCTTTTAGTGAGAGCCTATTTCAGGCCATTCACTGGTAATGCACACTAAGAGGATTAGTGGGTAGTTTTACATAATGTATAACTTAATCCCTCAATCTTCCTAGAGTACCTGTAAAGCAATAGACCTTGCAGCTATGGGCTCTTCCAGGAGACAGTAGACAGTAAGAGTTGTGTGGAACAAACTGAAGGTTGGGACTGTGGTTTAGCAGCAGCAAGTTTAACAACGTCCCCAAAGAGCCCATATCTAAGGGGCCTATTGAAAACATCACATGTGAGAGGGAAAAAAAAAAAACACAAAAAAAAACCCCAAAAAAAACAACTTAAAAAGAAAAAAGATTACATTACCGAGTCTTTTTGGAGCCGTGAGTTCTAAATCAATAATTCTGTCAGCATCTGTGATGTGGAGTAAAACAGATCAAGCAGCATCTCTTCCCTCCTCCGCCCCCTCCACCCTTAAGAGCGACAGGCTCATTGCTGTAAGGTTTTATCATGTGGTTGAACCCCAGTGGGGATATGTAAGCCAATTCTGTAGGTTTTGCTGAGAGTGTTCCGACCATAGATTGCCTGTGAAACCCCAGTGGCAGGAAGCTGGCTGGTGTGTGTCGGGTGGGTTCATATGGACTGTTGCTTTGTGGTGCAACATGAATGTATTCCAACCAGACTCCCTTCTGCAGCTCACCTGGAAACTAAGAGTACTTGAAAAGTTTTCAGCATTTGGCACAAAGTTTGCTTTAATGTCAGTATCTGGAGGGGGAGGGTGTTGCAAGAGCCATGGGGCTTGGAGCACTGGGAGCACTGTGGCTCAGGAGGTTGCCTGTGGTACCTGTACAGTCACTAGGACGTCTGTGGTCACAAAACCAGGATGTGCTTCATTGCTTGAAACATCTCTTTAGCATCCAAATCCCAGTGACCCCCAAATGCCCTGTACAAAACCTGCAAATGCCACCGACTGAATATTAATTTTCCAGCAAAGAGATATTTCTGAAGCATCCTTCCTAGCAGAAAATAAGATAACCAGATATTTTGCCCTGAAGCAAAATATTACATTCTCACTAGCAAAACAAATCAGCAGAGCAGCTGGCAACATTTACTTTCCCCTGGATAAGTCCCTTCCCTGACCAGAAGAAAGGAAGCTGTGTCCAGGAATGCACAGGCTCTTTGCTTAAGTAAACAACAGTTGCTTCAGTAGCAGCTGGGAAGCTGCAACAACAACTTCAGCCTTGGCAGAACACAGGCAGACACCTTGAAGACAGCCAAATGAATGTAAGGCTAGGAAAAAGATCTGTTTCCCCTGGTTTTTTTAGACTCAGGCTTGGGGCTATGTTTTCTGGCCAAAAAATATTCCTTAGATATAGTTCACTGTAATTTTCTGTGATCATCAGTATGTTGTTTAAATACCAGTCACCCCATCCCCTGGCTGTTCAACAGGCAGCTGCAGTGGCTTTTAAACTTCTGAGGGCATTAGCAAATTAGCTGAGAGTTACAGAGGAACTGCAATTCCTCTGCAGTGATCTACTGACTTGTGTGACACTTGGAAATGGGACACGTGTCAAAGAGGCTGTTTGTACACTGCCGAGAGGAATACATGGCAAACACTGATTTTACACCTCTGCTATCCCTCATGCTATGCTAACACCAGATGCCAAGATAGTTACCATAAACCTCCTCACATCTAATTGCAGTGCATAGACCAGGAGCATCTTTAAAGAGATGTCCAAAGACAAGCTTGCAGTTTCACAGATCTCTTATTAAATCTCACCATGTGAGGCCTTCAGAGATCTTCAAGAAAGGTGATAAAACCAGGGATAAAATTACTCCTCTATCTCCAAACCTGTCAGAAAAAGGATGTGGAAGCATTCCTGTGACAAAGTGCTGCAGAAGAGGCTTGAGTGTCCACAGAAGGCAGGGTGAGAAGTCATGGAGTCCATGCCCTTGCCCCCAGGGCAGAGCCAACAATGTAAATTTACAGAACAGAAATTTAAATAATTTCTGGAGGATGTTTGTCCAGCCAATTCCTAAAAGTCTTTTTAAGGGCAGATTCCTTTCCCAGTAGTTCCCCCCAGTGCCATGTTACCCTCTCTAGTAACCAGTAACTCCTGCTAGCCACCCAAGACTGGGACGGAGAAGAGGAGGCGTGCCCCTTTCTACACAGGGATAGGACAGGAGCATCCTATCCCAGCAGGAGACTAGAGCATCCCCAAGAGAGAAAAAACCCAGAACAGACCCAGAACCAGCTTACATGCATTTTTCACTGTGTTTCACATCAAGCTGCCATTCTGCTCCCCAGCACTGGCAAGGTACAGCCATGGAAATGTCCAAGGTGCACTCAGCCCAGGTCTCTGAGAATTCGGCCTGAATCCTGATGTGTCTGAGGGATGCAACAAATGCTCCTTCTCTGCAGGTAGCTTGAATACCTCAACATGAACCACGTTCTCAAGGTTTCAGACTATGCTAAGCCACTTTGGCCTTCCTCCCCTTCAACTTTTTCCTCTGGAGCAATTATTTTCACCAAAGTCAATGGACCTCCCTGCACTGATTGATTAGTAGGTGCAGATGCAGTGCTCTGTTCTCAGTCCAAAGCACTCCCAGTGGCTAACTGTGCATGAGATTTTACCCTTACTGGTGAACCTCCAGTTTGGAAGTCTACCTAGGCTTAAGCAGATTTTTGTCGTACTCTTAAGTGGCTTTTCAGCCCAGGTTCACTGTGGTTTTGTTTGCAATATAGATGATCCAATTTTTTATAAATGCAGTGAGTAGAACAGAGTATCATACACTGTCAGGCACTGACTAAAATCTAACAGTGAAAATTTTAGCTAAGGCTTACAAGACTATGTAGGACTATGGCTCACTGAGTACTTATATCTTCTACAAACATGAAAATTCCCATACAGGAAGGTATGGTGTACAGTATATTTTACTACAGGGTAAGCATGGGGAAAAAGAGCCAACCTACGTGCATATCACCCTCAAGATCAATCCAGTTTTCTTGTAATAGAACTTCTGATATTGTGTTAGCACAAGTCCACTTTCAATTTACAATTACTCTAAATGGAGAAAAAAAATAAAGAAAATTTGTTATAGCTGGAATAACTATGCCATAAACATTAATTGACGAAGACAGAATTTTCTGCCCAAAGCAGAAATGTGGAAGTGTTCTAGTTAGATTAAAATTAGAGCTGGAATTGTTGAAAAACATATCTGTGAAAGAAAAAGAGCTTCTTTTCCAAAGACAAGCAAATACACTTATTATGGTCAACTGCATGAACCTGGAGGGAATTCAGTACCAAAGTGGCCTGGGGTTATGTTGAGTCACGAGAGGATTCACATCTGCTCTCAGAAGTCTTCTGAGCCAGCGCTGAATTCAGGTAAAACATGTACTGTAAATTGAAAGGTGTACTTTTAAATGTTTTTTTCTAGGCTGACTGTCCTCCTGTGAGCCATGAAATCCCACATCAGCCAACACCTTTATTTTTATTCAAAGGGAAAACAAAACTAAGTGGTGGAATGACTGGGCAGAGATCAGGGGAGTCCAGAAGGAAGACTGGTTTCTCTGAAAAACAGAGAGAGCCAGCAAAGCAAATGGGTTGTGGGAGAAGACCTGGTGGCTTCAAAACTTAGCAAAGTGGTGGTTTTTCCTACTTTGTTAACTTGGAAAGCAAATAGCATGTTCAGGGAGACATGGGGAAGGGAGGCTGAGTTAGTGGGAGTCAGCCTTGGGTTTGCTGTGCACTCCAGTTATAGTAGGTCCTCTGGCATGGTTGGGAGCTGTCAGCAGGATGGAAACTGGGAGGGGCAGGGCTGGCACTGCTGTGTGGGCACTGGGGATGCCATACCAGGGGCTGTGATGGTGCCATATCCCTTGTCCCCATCCCACAGCCCTGTCAGGGGTTCCCAGGCTGTGCAGCCTGCAGAGAGCATCAGCTGCCCTGCAGGAACAGCTCCTCACAATTCTCACACTGTGGCAGCACTGCTGAGGGGTTTTGCTGAACCAATGCTTTCGTGGTAAGGCACAAGCCCTGTAGGAAACCACTTTCTGGAAGCTCTTGGTTGGAAAGAATTACCCAGAGCCTTTTCCTCCCCTGCCTTTGCACATATTAAAATCCTGATCCATAAAAATCAGATTGTACCATTTATCTCTGTAGGGACAAAGTATTTCTTCCATGGCTTT